AAGAGCTATGTTTGCTCTATTCTGATGTGAGCCTTGTTGCAGTGAATTCCAGCTGCATCAGGAACATCCCTATGTGTCAAATACAATGTACAGGTGTCAACAATCACAATTTCAACTGCAGGTTTTGCTCCAGAAATTGTGCTCCTCTTCGCTCAGAAAATGTTCCCTGTGCATGCACTTTACAATTCAGACGATCAAAGTGTTGCTGCATTCAAGCCAATGATGCCTCTGGGCTGCATTTTTTATGGACCTGGACAGCCACCATTTGCCCATGACCGACTTTGGTCACGGGTGCAGTGGTAATTCCCACACTCTGGGGTTGATTCTGTTATGACCTGCAGGCAGTTTGTACAAGAACATTGTCATCACCTTTCAGCAGCAAACTGCTCGTTTTGCAAGCAGGCAGCACAAAACGTCAGGCAACCTCCCCAGCAGGTGTATTGAAAATTGCTCAACACCATCTGTACTCCATTGTGGATGGACATGAGCAAGGCGATTGATACTGAATTATGATGTTGAATTAATGTTGAATTAATGTTCATTGCCGCATTAATGTTGCCTTTGGAATCCACACCCAGGTTTCACAAAGTACCCATCACCCGCCTCGAAGGTGCCAGGGAGGCGCTTGTTCAATGACAATACAAAGATCATATCACAATATCCTGCCCACTTATGGGCTGTTGGGACAACCAACGTTTGGTTGCCAAAAAGCTTGCGGCACTGCCTGAAACTGCGTTGCTGATCCAAGGGCTTCGGGGCACCGGCGTGCATTGACATGGTTGCAGCCAGAAGCTCACCTGCAGATCGTGTAGCAGCTTTGGCAGCGAACGGTGCCCATCCCCTGTCGCCATGCCCCTGTCGTTTGCAAACTCGGACAGCCGCCCCGTGTGCACCAGCGCCTTCAGGTACTCCACGACCACCGCACTGCTTGTGGCATACTTTCCCGAGTCCACCCGCTGCAGCACCTCCCCTGGGCTGACCTCGTTCAGCTGCACCAGGAAGCGCGTGTGTGCCTCCGCGTCCCCCGGCGCCGCATCGCTCTCCGCCTGCAGCTTCCTCAGGTGGCGCTGCCGCTGCCAGGCCGGCAGCTTGCGCATCCAGTCCAGCACGACTTGCACAATCATCAGCAGGCGGGATCGCATCCCCATGACAACGGACGCCAGCCCCGGCGGCCCCGCGGCCGGGGCGGCCTCCGACCCAGCCTCTGCGGGCTCCGCTGGATCGCTCCCCTGCTGCAACGCACCCCCAGGCCGGCCATTGGATTTGCCATCATCGGCCGAATGGACGGAACTGGCGGCCTTCTCCGAGCTTTCACTCCCCCCAGATGCGGCGTCCAAGGTGGAGCACGCCTTCACATCGCGGCCACGTCCCCCTTTTGGGTGGCACTCGCGCGAATGCAGACCCATGGGCTCAGCGGGGCCCATCCGCCTGCGCCTCAGCGAGCATGGCCCGGGCTCTCTCCTGGGGCGAAGATGCCCCTTGGGGTTCCACGGGGATCCTCGCCTCTGCCCGGCGTCCGGCTTCAGGGGCCAGCCCGCCCGCCAGGGGCTCACGCCCGGCAGCGGCAATCCGTGTCTCGATAGGCTATCGTCCGCTGGGGGGGGCGAGGGCCCCGAGAGTGTTGTGAGCATGGCCGACGCCCGATGCCTGCCGACCGGGGGACGGCCGCCAAGGGGAGGGGATCGAACGCGCGCGGTCCGTGCGCGCGGGGAAGAGCGTCGGAAAACCTGACGATCCAGACAGGCGCGAACGTCAATCGCTGAAAGGACACAGTGCTGGGCATCGACGCAAGAGGGATGGGAGGCGGAATAAACGAAAGATTTCGGTACGAACAGCAGGGATCGATGAGCCGTGCGACGGTGGCCGAACCGAACTCCAGCCACGCACCTGTCGCCGGGGCTCGGCCGTCGGAGACGGGTTAATGTCCCGAGCGCAGGCTGCCTCGCCTGGCCAGTTCGGGAGGCAGGCGGCCTGTTACACAGGCCGCTCCGCCGTCTGCGCCCCCGCTGGACGCCGCGTCGTGAGGGCCTGGGGAGGGGTCTCGGGGAGGCTGCGTGCTCCCTGGGGGCGGCGCGCGGCGCCTGCGCTTGGAGGACGAGCGCGGTGTGCGCAATGTTACTGGCCGACATCGCAGTCCCAAGGCTACCACGGTCTGCGGCATCGCAGGTCCGTGTAGTGTAGTGTGCAAGTCCGCACACTTGTGTGCGTAGTGTAGTGTGCTTGCTGCACACGGACCGGGCCCGTGGTCTTTCGCTGCCGTATCAAGGGACTGGCTGTCTTCCGGGGGGGCTCTTGCGATGCACGCCGGTGGTGAAAACTCCCAATATATCACAATCGCAGCCGCTCCGACTCCAATGTGTTCGCAAAACCGCATAATGACCACCGTTTCCCTGGGTGGATCACTTATGCATTATGGTGTTCAACTTGTATGCACTTCAAGAATAATGTTTATATACAAGGCATTCTGAATCTATACAAAGAAAAGAAAAATGTGTTCTAGAATTCAGAGAATTATTTCTCCTATGATGGGGCTTTTGTGCGCATCAATTTGATTGTTGTGGGAGATGCCATCTGATTCAGAGGCAGATGCTATGGTTGGGGTTGCATTCGAAATTGAAACATTCCTACATTGCCGTTGAGTGTATGGGCACCTTTGGCATATGTTTTATGAAGTGGGTTGCATTGTGGCGACGAGTGGGCATCTCTGAAGTGTCGTATGGCTGGTTGTTGATGACATTTATTTTGTCGCTTTCGTCATATGAAAAGCAAGAGTTCTGTGGGTGCAAAGAGGTTCGAACTGTTCGGTTATGGGTGGGTCATGCCGCCAATTATCGGCAAGGCTCTCTACTGCGGGCAGAACAAATATGTAAAGCCCCGTTTTGTGCGGCTGCCAACCTGTTGGGCATCGCTGATCGCGACCGCGCTTCCCGTGATGCACCCGCGTAGTATGGGGCGTTTGAATCGCATCAATGGCCATTCCTTCAAGACAAGGTTAATCCCACGCTCTTTTTGTTTCCTGACTACCTGCTAAGATTGCACAAGGTGTTGTCCAGTTACTCACACAGATATGCCATTTCACCGGATTTATCCACCCATGTGAAAGTAACATACTCATGATCTGTCGGTTTGCTATGAAGCCACGAAAGTGGAAGAAGGAACTTAAATCAGAACATGTGAATGTCATCTGCACAAGTGACAAAAATGCACAAGAAGAACTTTCCAATCAACATTCTTCAGTTGGCTGTGCCAACCATCATGTGCGTGATTTTTTCCCTTTCTGCGATCGGCAACTCTGTTGCAAAGCATGACAAAGAGGCACAATGTGCTATGCTGTACATCTGCTGTAGAAATCCAGTTTCTCCACTAGTGGCCTTTATCCCTATGAATTTATCTGTATTGTTATTTAGTGAGACCGAAATACTAGGGATCACCCGGGAGCCCTAGGCACTGCCACGTGGCCATCGACCATGAAGACATGGGAGCGTTCACACTCCACGTCTGATGAAGATATGTGGAAGCTGCAAGTTGTGCATTGTCGATCGCACATGCAAGCCTTGCTCTTATCTCGATTGTGTGCTCCTTACTTGACCACACCCTTTGCTGCCCCATTTGAGTGCGAACATCACTGTTTGGTGCTCGCCCTCTCTTATTCCTGAATCACCTATTCGGATTTGTATTATGTTGGTGCACTTCGTATTGTTCCGCCACTGACTAGTTCGCTGCAGGGAAGCTCTCCTGTTGCCGCTGTCAGGAAACGAGCTCGAGGCAACGGACTCCATTGGACTGGTTTACAGACATATCCCAAACTATGAAATCCCTCTTCGGCCAGTTCATCTATTCCGTCCACGTGTCATGACAATGTCATCGTGGTAAATCGAAGAGCTAAATGTCGCACCTTGTGTTGCATGAGCCGGGAGATTGACGTCTGTTCGCAACACCGCGTCATAACCACCGTTTCACTGGGTGGATCACTTATGCATTATGGTGTGCGATTTGTATGCACTTCAAGAATATGGTTTAGAAGGCATTCTGAATCCATAAAAAGAAAAGAAAAATGTGTTTTATCATATGGTTGGCTTGTGATGGATGATGGTCCTTGTCATATGAAAAGAGGAGTTCTGTGGGTGCAAAAAGATTCGAACTGTTCAGTTGCGGGTGTCGTTGCCACCGTCAGCAAGGCTCTTCACTGTGGGAAGGGTGAACAAATATGTAAACCCCAGGCGTTTTGTGTGGCCTTGCGCCTGGCCGTGTGCCAACCCGTTGGAGCATCGGCGATCGTGGATTCGCGCTTCCGTACCTAAGGTGAATTTATCAACGGCCATTTCCTTCAAGACGTCGCAAAGGCCATGGGGGTTGACAGTCGATTGTCATCCGGCTCAGTCTGGCCGCAAAGTTGTGACACGCGGGGCATAGTTAAACGGTCACAGCAATCTGCATTGGAGACAATGGGTGATGATGCGTTGTGTGATGGGGCCCATCGAGAGACTCTCGTCGAGTAATGCATTTCTCAAACTCTCAGAATTCCTCAGGAGACAGCGATCGTCGATCTGCCTTGTCACGATTCATGTTCACATTTCACAAAGGGAGGCGAGGGTTCTGTTTTAACAATTTGCCAGAACCACATTTCGCCAGACAGAACGACCTACATCCGCCATGATTGCGTGATGTGTGGGGCTCATTTCAAAATCGCCAGACTGGGACAATTTCAACTCTGCAAATTACAACAAACTTTGTTCTCGACATTGCACATAATTGATACACCCAGCCCTGGGGAAGGGTGGCCGCTCTGCCAGTGCACAGCAACCGCGAAAAACGGCGACGAGATTCGGCACCCTTTCACCACAGTCTTTCCCACAACCAACGCACAAGGTTGCGGCCGTCGCCAATATACAATCTTCCGGACTCAAGAGGATAGCCTCGACTTCCGGGGCATGTCACCAGGACTTCATATAGCCAGCAGCGGTCGCGAGGTCGCCGAACCCACGCTTGACCCACCCACTTCACAGCTTTATCGACCATTCGTGCTCCACATGGCCGAGCTGTATGTCGAACAGGGTCTTCCGCAGCCGGTTCGTCAGCTGCATGTCCGCAAAACACTCGCACCTGCACTTACAGTCGGGGCCCTTCTCCCTCTTGATCTCCACGACAGGCAGGATGGTGACTGCTGTGCCTGCCCCAAAGACTTCCAGCAGGCGCCCGGCTTGGGCAGCGGTCGTCAGCTCACTGACGGTGATGTTGCGCTCAGACACCTCGAATTCGTTCCAGCTGATACACAGAATGGCGTTAAAATTTTGGGTGGTGCGTGGTGCGGCGCTGGGCTAGCCAGCCCAGGAAAAGTGCAGGCGATTGTTGGGGCGCATTGTGATTCTTGTGTCGTCCACGTGGGTGGAGCTTAGCAGCAAGTGGGGCCTTGGGTGCGGTGGCCGTCGAGGTGGCCTTGGGTGCAGTGGCCGACAGGGGGCATCCACAAACGGTCAAATCCAAAAAGAGCATCAGAACTGTCTGAAATCGGCAGAACTACGACTAGGCAAGGTCTGTATCAAGGAAAAGAACATGGTGGATAAAAAGTGTTGTGTTCTTATGCTTTAAAATATGGTTCTGGGTGACTGTCAATGGCAGAGCTGTAGGAGGCATTGTCGCAACCCTATTCTCTCTGCTGAAATTTGTTGCGACCCTATTCTCTGAGATAAATCGAGCGAATACCTTCCCTGTTAGTGCATATGAATACTGGAAAGATCCAAGCTGGTATCGCGCAGTTACATGTGAATGTACACATAAATGGCACTGACAAACACAGCGCCCAGCTGCATTAGCAGCACCACCACTTACTGTCACGCCGCCGACCCTGTGGGCAAGGCACAGCAAAATGGGCACCTCGGCCAGATTCGCCCCGCCAGCATTGGCCTCATCTGCCATACGTTGCGCCACCACAACTTAATGCAACCAAAAGCACAAACATTTCTCCACCAAAGGCACAGGGTCAGGAACAGGGAAGGGACAACCTCACCTTCTGCACAATTCGAGTACAGACTCTCGAGTGACTCCTGGAAGGATCGTACCATCCAGAGGCGGCGTGCACAGCTCCTTCTTGCCATCTTCCTTCTCCAATAAGAAAAAGACGTTCATACCAGCACACTCTGAAATCAGGGCATCCTCTGGGGATGGCCCCTGAGGTAGGCAGAACATGACCATGATGCAGCCATGTTCTTTTCCCGCCTCAAGCTGCAGGAAAGATACAAGCACATGTGAGAACAACATGTGCATTCGATGTGTGCCACATCTGTAGTTCAGTACCTTGAGAACAGCTTGTCACGTGTTGTTCACAGTTTGACATGGTCCTGCCAGAAGGCAGAACAGTCACTATGTTGCATGTCCTCATGATTTCACCAGCAATGTTCCTATCCACACATCCCAGAGGTGAATCGCAGAGGCAAGGGACAATTCTCTGTTCAGGATGGGCTGAATGCATCGACACACCATGATACAGGGCAGCATACACAAACACAAAGCGCAGAAACTGCAATCTGAGGCATGAACAAGCAACTCTGGCACTCACATGTGGCTTCAGAGTCGGGCCATAGTTGCTCGCCAGTTTGTGCTCTCCAGCACCACCAGGCCAGGCACGCACATCGGTCTCATTGAGGAACAATTTCTCCCCTTTGCTTTCTGTGCTGAAGAACTGGGCACTTGGGCTCAGGGTGACAACGATGGTTGCATGGTTAGGCGGCCTGAGGTCTGCATGGTAGGCAGCAAATCGGTTTCACACCCATGGTGCTGGGACAAAAAGTGATGTGATTGGCATTCCACTGCCAGTTGACAAATAGGCAACACAATACAGCCTGTGAAGAAACCACGGCTGGATTGCGGGAGGGCCCTGGCAGCACACTTCTGTGACCATTGCAAGGCACTGACAAAGGCAACTGTGCGATACAACGCCAGGGTACTGAAGTTGCAGCAAACATTCGATTCTGCAGGTTAGTGAGGTCAGAGGCTCTTGTTACCAAAGCCAACCAGCCAGCTCCTCAAGTTGCAACAATATGGACCCCCAAACAAGCCTTGACAGTGCATTTCTGAAAATGTACCCTTCTGCACCAATGTGGAAGCTGGTGACAGAGAAATGGCTGACTAAGCATCGGCAGGGTTCATCCAGCATGTTGTATGTTGCAAGGAAAATTTGTGCGTGGCTGGGACAGTATCACCAAGCCATGATACCCACACTGGACAATAAAGGCGAGCATAAGGAGCTGACCATATGCAGGAGACTTTGCAATGGAATGGCATATCCATCAATGAGAGATTCAAACATTGTTTTGTGTCCTGAACTTACTGAGGAAAGCCGATGTGTTCATCGCGAATGGCCGAATGTACAGGGCGGAGCCTTCCCCTTCAGGTAGCCAATCTTTGTCCAGCTTGACGAGTGCTTCGATGCATTTCAGCAGTTCCTGTGACCAAAGAGGCTTTCGATCGCATGCAGTGCTGAAATGCGTCTCAGGAATATGGCACACATTCGTTTCGGAGAAGAAATTGATCAAAATACAAATCCAGCATAGCATTCTGCATCCCAAACTGATCATGTCACACGCCAGGGCAGGGGGGGATGCCTCTGGGTAACAGCTGTATTAAACTGTCAAAAACCGTTCAGCTTCTCACAGGATTTTCGTTTTCGTTTTAATTCGTTTATTTCTTCTTCTGTGTTCGGGGCCACTAATTGACGCATGCCTGGGAGATCTGTGGTATCTGGCAAAGGGCGTTGCACTGGTGCTCAACATTGGTTCCACAATTGCGTGCCAGCACAGCACAGGGCCTGTGGTACTGGTAGAAACACCCGCTAACATCCGCCAGCTGCGATTCTAGGCCCCCTCACCCCAACCCCGCCTAGAAAAATCGGGGCACAGAAACAAGCAAAGGACCCAAAACAGAAACAAACCTCAGCACAGCGTGCCGCGATTCATCATCCATCCATCTTCACCGGCCGTCCTCATGGGTGCCAGAAGCGAATGGACACGTCACGCACCTCTGTGTCGAAGGCGGGGAGCATCAGCCTTTGACAAGACTTATGGAAGCGCTTCATGTTCATCTGTGGCCTGGCGATCCGGAAGGTGCACACGCCACGGGAACATTAAATTCAATCGCCAGGCGACGTCCAGAACGAAAAAGCGGCTCGGGCAGCCAGCCTCCGGGCGCGAGGGGCAAGCCCCCGGCGGGGTGGCCCAATGAAGACTAGTTAACAGCCGAGCGCGCTGCACTTTGAGCGCGCCTCCACGGCATCCCCACAGCCGTCAGACGGCAGAGATTGGGCCCAAGGGCGGATGGCAACCCGAACCAGTCATCTCAGTGTCCCCGCTACCCCGCCCTGGCATCAATTCTAATGCCTCCCTCCGGGGGCCGGATCGCACCTGAACAGCCGCGGCGCCCCGTCGACGCCCTTGTATGCCTTCATGCCCTCGAAGCACGACATGCCGTAGTGCAGCACCTGGGCCGACGGGTGCAAGCTGAGGTTCTGGAACGGCTTGATCACCGGGGCGCCCCAGCCGCTCCCTGCGGCGTGCTCGATCACCAGCATGTGGTCCGTGAACGCCAGCCCGAAGGCCGCGCCCTGACGCCCAGAAGCACCCACAAACTCAGCGCACATTGCGACCCACGGGGGAGTTGACATCTCCTCGCCAGACGCCTGTTTGGGACTCTGCACATCTCTTACGAAAAATGGTGGGGTGGAATGCGAATGGGCGCCTCGGGCGCCCTTACCTCGGCCGGGCCCTTGGCCTTGGTACCGCCGTTGCTGACCACCGTGAGGTCCGCCATCGAGAAAGACGCCATGGTTGGGCGGTCGGTGCGCGGCTGTGCTGCGACGGTGGTAGGGGGAATGGGAGCCCGCGAACCTGTGCTGGAGCTGGAAGGGTTTGCCTTCCGGACAGCGGCTGTTGCCGGCCTCTTTTATGGAGGAAGTTGGCCTCGGCCAGCGGACAGCAGCCACACATGCGCACCCCCACCAGCAGGATATTTATTCGCCGCATGTTGGCCAGTGTGCGGCCCAGGGGCCTGCGGCTGCTCGTGAATGATGGCGTCGGAAACTTAGTAATTCCTTGTTCCCCAATTTTACTAACATGCAGCTGGAAAGTTGGCGAATTTGCGTGCAGTCCCGCGGCTGATGGCCAGAGCCGACTGTTATGCCGGTGCGCAATGATTGCAGCACGGCTGACCGGCCACTGGGAGGGTGCTCGGTGGCGCAGTGACACGATCGTTTAACCCTTGCCTTCGCCTTGGATGGCTCCGGCGTGAACCCCATTTCGCACTTACAGACTTTGCTGCTTCTACATGGCAAACGTTTCATTCGTTTTTCATGGAACCTGGCCTGCCGATCTGTTCCTAGGCCGCCAACTTTGAGGAATGTTCCAGTGGCCGCCCCAGCCATGTTGGCTTGGCCAATCCCCGGATGAAGTCCCGTGATCTTCCCATGTCCATTCCCGGCCTCCCAACTGTTATCGTATGCTCTCAACTACCCATTCGCTAACCTCTAGGCCGGCGCCCTGGACCTGTCCGTCCGCCGACGTTCCCAGGGGCCCTACCCGCTGCCCTTCTCCCTCACTTGCTCCTCTACTTCCTCTACCGCAGCTCCCTCCAACTGCCCCACTAACTACTCGCCACACTCCCATTCACCCGGAACCTTCCCTCGATCATCCCTTAATACCATTACCCATGTCCCATCCCCACACTGACCCCGTACAATTGCGCGATGTCTCTACCATTCCAACCCTTTTGAAGGGAATGTCGAGGTGCACGTAGAGCACGGATTGACCTTTCTGCGAGCTGGTTTGTCCGGCGCGGGATGTGTTTTGTCACTGTGTGACAAATGTAATCGATGGATTTTGATGATGAAGAAGGGTATAAGTGTCAGCACCTGTGATTCAAGTGTTGGTGTGATTCTCCTCTTGGAACCCGTGAGGGAAACAAATCCACAGGCTGGCGACACTCTTGGTGGGTCTTATGAGCTGGGAACGCGGCTAAGAGCGCCCCGGAAATTAATTTTTAGAGTCTGACTCAGCGTTCTTGTGTAAGAATCGACACTTGTGACATAGGAGTTACGTGAGTGGCGTGGGCATGCGCCCTCCCGGGGTGGACCGGTGGTTGCGCTCGAGGGCGGCCGACGGGAGGCGCGCGGCTATCGGTGCCGCGGTTGTGGCGCTCCGTGCACGCTTGCGCTCGAGGCGGACGTTTCCCGGCGCGATTCCACGACGCCGCGGCGGCAATGGAGACCATCGCCGGCGCCGATCGTCACAACGGCGATGGCCCTTGCCCAAACTCGCGGCTCAGCGTTGTCGTTCCTGCGAGGGCTCCAATCAGGCCGCGGAGCCACTCCAGAGCCTTCCAGTGCTCTGTTGTGGCAACCATCGGCGCAGCGACCGCGGTACCGGATGCAGTCAGCGCGCCCCTCAAGACAAAGCGTTCAGGGCCCCCGGGCCCTGGAGTGAATTTTTGGAAAGCGGAGAGCAGGGGTGCAGCTCCAACCCGGGTTGTGGAGCATGCTTGAGCGCGAGCACGGGGCCGGCCATGGACCTCCGCCATCACAGTCAGAGCGCGCGGTGTGTGTCAATCACTTGCTGTGACTATCGAAAGCTCTTTTGGGTCGATTGAGGGCAATGCGGCTGAGGCGATGGCTTGCGAATCACGCCCGTGGCGATGGCATGCGATGGCGACGGTGGTGGGCGATCCCGGCAGAGGCCTTGCCAAACCCAGTGCCGGCTCTCGAGGTGCGGAGTTGTGCGTCGCGATTGTGGGACGCGACTCCCCTTCGTCGCGGTGGCGATGGCGGCCATCGCACCGCCGATGGCCGCAGTGGTGATAGCTCGGGTCCCAAAACTCAATGGCCGAAGTTGCTGCCCCACGCGAGGGCTCCCTCCGGCTCAGGGAGCTGCTCTCTTTCCCTGGACGCTCTCTGCCGTGACAGCCATCGGCATGGCGATGGCAGCACGAGAGGCAATCACCGCCCACCTCAAGGCGAGGCGTTGAGGCCCCTGGGCCTGGGAGTGAGTTGATGGGATTGTCGCGGAGATCGGTTGCGTGGGTCCCGCCTAGGCCCATGGGCACGCTTGAGCGCGAGCACGGGGTGGGGTGAACACCCCGCCATCGCGACTGCAGCGCGCAGTGTGTGACATTCATAAGTCGAGACTGTCGAATGTGATCCGGTGTGAGGGCAGCCTTGTACATTAGGACAGAAGGGGAAGTTCACCTGTATATTAACCTGGGCGGTACTGTATATTAGCATGGGAAACATTGTATAATAGCTCACGGGGAAACGGGTTCTAATGCGGGATAGTACTTAGCCATTTCATTCAATGAATGGGGCGTGGAGTGCACGCCGCAGCTGGCCGTTCAGGAGCCAAAGCTAGATGTTGGGTTTACTAAGGATAACTGGACTGGGTGATGATGAAATGGACAAAGGGAAAGAGTGCCGTATTGGTCAATACAGTAGAGAGAGGCGCTGGGTGACCACGGGTCGGTAGAAACGAACGGACACGAAGTTGGGGATTTGAATTACGAAACGAAACTGGGCGGGCATGCCAGAATCTGGGTGACTCACCCAATTCTGGCATGACCCTTGGACTGCCTTGGACATGGGGTATATAAACGGGACCACCGGAACACTTCTGTAATCGAAACCTTGCCGTTCAAGTTCGTTTCCGACTGGACCCCGACTCGAACGGGTAACGGGCCAAGCCCCGACCAGCCAAGGAGGGTTGCCGCCCCTTACAACTGGTTTCGGAGCCAGCGGAGCGCCCAAGCTGCGGCGGCGCTTCGCTCTGACCGACCCACGACCTGAGGCGGCGGGACCCCAAGGCCCAAGGGAAGCTTGGACTCCGACTGAAGAGCGGCGCAGCTGGACGTCTGGAAGTCGTCAGCTGTGTCGGAAGCTCGAAAGAGAAGAGCCGACGAGTGCCGCTGTGCGCCGGAGTGCGACAGCGAAGAGGCCTGCCCCGAGGGCGACGACAACCATTCCGTTGTGCGCCGGAGAGCGACAACGAGGAGACCGCACCAAGGGCAGTGAGGGTTGGACGTCACGAAGACGTCACCCGTGAAGGTCTGCCCCGAGGGCGAATCAGGAAAGGAGAGATTTCGAAGACGGGCCTGCCGGCGCCAGGGAGCCATTCGCTGAAAGAGACGTCAGCAAGGTGGGCCGTCCAAGCGTGACGACTGGAAGGGAGTGAGAACCAAGGAAAATCAGTGCTGGGACGTCAAGTGACGACTCGAGGCGGGAAACGACGTGAAGACGTCAGTCGACGACTGACCCGCGGAATACTTCCAAAGAAACGGCCAGACAGGACCAAACAACATGAGCCAGCAGGGGAGCGTACAGAGCCGGTCCCCGAGTCCGTCACAAGCCTCGCCCGACCAGTTACAAGCAGCCATCGAGCAAGTACTGGGCGACCGGTGGAACCAACTGGCACGACATGTCGAGGTGCAACAAAGCGAGATAAACCAACGAATCCAGAACCAGCTGGACGAGGCAGTGGCAGCTGCCGCCTCCCTGGCTGATGCTAGGACACGCCCACAGCCTGAACGACCGGCCCAGTTGATTGTCAAGCCTACTAAGCCACCTACGTACGAGGGAGCACGTCAGGGGACGTTCACTCAGTGGGCGTTCCAGGTCAAGCAATATCTACGACTGATGAACGTTCACGACGAAGCCTACTGTGTGGAGTTTGCGGCCAGCCAATTCCGAGGGACAGCTGGCCTGTGGTGGCAGAATCTTGTACAAGCGCATGGAGTAGGAGCAATTCGAACGTGGCAAGAGTTTGTCAATGCTGCGGAGGGACAGTTCGGGGTAGCCAACGACCGTCAGAAGGCGCGAGACGAGCTGGCGAGGCTCGCCCAGAAAACTAGCGTGGAGGACTACACCGGAAAGTTTATGGACCTAAAAACGCGAATTCCAGGCATCAGCGACGACGAGTGTCTGGACCGTTATAAACGAGGACTGAAGCCAGCCGTACGACTGGACGTGGAAAGGGCCAACCCACTAAATCTACAGCAAGCCATGAGTCATGCGCTGAAGGCGGATGATATTTTATTCCGCATCAATGGAGCTACCCGAAATACAGCCAACCCCCCTGTACACCGATCGCTTCCTCGACCGATACCACGAGCAGGACCAACACCCATGGAGGTCGACACGTTGCAGCGAGGAGGGCCTCAAGAAATTCAGTGCCACCGGTGCAGGGGTTATGGGCACTATGCGAAAGATTGTGCCACAAGACAGCGACCTGGCGAGCGATTTGGAGCATCAAAAGGTGAAGGACGTCGCGGTGGCGAGAGGCGTCACACCGTGACGAATTTGGAGTGCGCAGAAGAGGAGATACAAGACCGGGAGTATTGTGGAAACGCCAGCCATCTCCCCAAAGCGAGAACTATGCTGCCATGCTTTAAGGCCAAAATACAAGGAAGACTAGGGCTTGCCCTACTTGACACCGGGGCCACTACAAACTTTGTCAACCGTGCTTTCCTCGAGGAACAACCGGAAGATGAGAGAAGGGATGACTCGACCACCATCTGCTTGGCAGACGGGACGGCTCGAGGACGGTGCCAAGCCCACCAAAGCCTCACGGTCGAGTTGGGACCATCCGTTACCACAGTAAGGGCAATCGAGATGGAGCTGCTGCATTTTGACGCCATCCTGGGCATACCATGGCTGCTCCAGGCCCGACCTACATTCGATTGGGATGAGAAGGCAATAATACTGAATGACGAGAGAGTGTGGCCAATCCATCAAGTACCCAGAGAGAAGCTGCCTGACGACCGGGCGCGAGCCAAGAATGAGGAAACAC